AAATTGTGACAAACCTGTTACGACTGATTTGGTAAAGGCGAGACTATTAAACGAGATGTCTAAAAATGAAACTATGCCTGTCAATACGGTTTTTCAAGCCAAGTCCAATACCAAACAGAAGAAAAAGAAAAATATTGTTTGTTACGATTGCAAAGTACCAGGACACAAAAGACCCAACTGTCCTCAAAGAAACAAAGCCAAAGTTGCAGCGATAGAAGTGGATCAAGAGAAGAAGATGACATCCTTTGTTGCTCTGAATACTTCTGCTGCTGGTGTAGATTTATGGTACGTAGATTCGGGCGCAACCAAACACATGACTTCTAGACGTGATTGGTTCCAGACTTTCACAGGTTCAGATAGTGGAAGCGTTACTGTTGCGAATGGTGATCAAATCAAGTGTCATGGAGTCGGTAATGTATCAATAAATACGCCGAATAAAACAGTGAATATGATAAATGATGTTGCTCTTGTACCAGATTTAAAGGCAAATTTATTATCAGTTCAACAAGCTGTTCAGAAAGGATTTATTTGTATTTTTGATAATAATGGTTGTACTTTTTATAAAAATGATGCAAATTTTACTGTTACAGGTGATTCAGTTTTACATGCTACGTCCTGTGGTGGTTTGTACACTCTAGAGTGTACTGTAAATATTCCCCGGGCAAATGTAACACAACATGAGCACTCTGACGGTTCGAGTAACTACAATCTGTTACATAAACGATTAGAGCACTTATGTCGTATCGGAATGAGCACGTTGAAGGATCATCAAGTTGGTATTAATTTTACTGAGGTAGACAAAAGTAGTTGCATCGCTTGTATACAAGGTAAACAAGCTAGGAAACGTTTTAAGAAGATAGCATACAAAAAGGCATCTTCACCTTTAGAACTGATCCATAGTGATCTTTGTGGACCTATGTCCGTGTCATCTTTTCAAGGAAATATATATATTTTAATTTTTGTAGATGACTATACACGTAAAATTTTTGCTTATTTCATTAATTCTAAGACAGAGGTAAAGAACAAGTTCTGTTTATTTCAAGCGTTAGTCGAAAATCAGTTAGGTTCTAAAATAAAAACAATTAGAACAGATGGTGGTACCGAGTTTGTCAACAAGGAGTTTGACGATTATCTTGCGTCTAAAGGGATCGAACACCAAAGTACTATGAGGTACAGTCCACAACAAAACGGGACTGCGGAGCGCACTTTCCGCTCAATAGTTGAGAAGGCGAGATCCATGATGGCTGAGAGCTCCTTACCAAAAGCATACTGGGAAGATGCATGCAAGGCAGCAGTGTACTTGAAGAACCGGTCACCACATAGAGCCTTAGATGGACAAATACCTTACGATAGATGGTGTGGTCGTAAAAGTGACTTGAGCCACTTAAGAGTGTTCGGATGCAGAGCTCTTGTTCATATACCCGATTGTCTGCGAAAGAAGCTAGATTTGAAAGCTGAAGAAGCAATATGTATGGGATATTCAGAGGATCCAAATACTTACTTGTTTCGTGATCCTGAAAATCCACGAAGAATGTTAAAGTCTAGAGACGCTACATTTTTTGAAAATTGTTTTACACCCCTGAAGCGAAAAGAAACTCGTTCGCAGGTTGAATCTTGTAATCCTATTTTATTGTTTGATACGCATGAAGAAAGATCTGAAGGAGGATCAGAATTCTTCGACTGTCTTGACAGTACCAGCTCAGCTGCTGAATCGTCTATTCCTGTAAATTTGTACTAGGTGCCTGACAATGTTCCAGAGGTTACAGAGACGGATACAGCAAGAGAACATCCAGAAGTTCCGTTTGAGCCGAGATATCCGTCAAGAAATCGAAAGCCTCCTGATTTCCTGTCATATCAAGCGTCAATTAACGATGTGGATGAACCAACCAGCTATTATGAAGCTATTCGTTCGGATGATGCTGCAAAGTGGCAGCTAGCAATGAATGATGAGCGCAATTCACTAAAGAAATTTCGCACCTGGGAGCTAGTGGATAGACCCAACAAGAAGGTTATTCCCTGCAAGTGGGTATACAAAGTGAAGAAGGATGTTTTTGGCAACATCATTAAATACAAGGCTAGACTCGTTATTAAAGGATATAGTCAGACAAAAGGCCTTGACTATAATGAGACTTTTGCGCCTGTAATACGTCATTCTTCACTACGCACGCTATTTGCATTATCTGCAGAATTGGGCTTGAAGATGAGGCACATAGACGTGGATACTGCATTCCTGAACGGCGATTTACAACAAGAAGTCTACATGGAGCAACCTTTGAATTTGTCAAAAATGATTTGTCAAAATATTTTTCGCTAAAAGATTTAGGCTTTTTGAAGTCATATTTAGGTTTACAAATCGATTGCAATAAAGAATACATAAAAGTAAGTCAATCGAATTTCATATTGTCATTATTAGAAAAGTTCAATATGAGTGATTGCAAAACGGTGACGACTCCTTTAGCGCAGGCTAAATTATCTAAGAATTCGAATGGTGAGTTACCGCTATTGCCTTATCAAAACCTTATTGGCAGTCTTATGTATTTGGCTGTAAATTCACGGCCTGATATTGCATACGCGGCTAGTTATCTTAGTCAGTTTAATACGTGTTTTACTAAGGAACATTGGAATGCTGCGAAACGCGTTTTACAGTATCTGAAAGGTACACTGAAGTATTCCCTGATTTACAGAAAAACAGGAAAAAACCTAGTCGGTTATACTGATGCGGATTGGGCAAATTGCCCTATAGATAGGAAGTCGTACACCGGCTTCGTATTTAAGTTGGCCGACGGAGCAGTGGCATGGGAGGCCAAGAAACAGCCTACTGTGGCTCTGTCGTCTTCCGAAGCCGAGTACATGGCGCTAACAACAGCGACAAAGGAAGCTTGCTACTTACGTAGATTTATTTCTGAAATTACAGGTAAACTATGCTCAGTTACGTTGTTGTCGGACAGTCAGAGTGCTATAAACCTAGTTCACAATCCTGTACATCACAACAGGACGAAGCATATAGATACTCGTTTTCATTTTATTAGGGAAAAAGTGTCTGACGGAATTATACGTTTACAATATTTAAAGAGCAGTGACATGCCTGCAGACGTTTTTACAAAACCTCTCGGGCCTATTGCTCATAATAAATGTACAGTTAGCATTGGTTTAGTTGTGTAGTATCTTTTTTTTGTTAGGATAATTTTCATGCTACTGAAAATTATTCTTAATGTATATATTTTTCGAATTTTAAAAGCTTCCTTTTTCTTTTGTATGACGTCTGTATGACTTTGTCACTCTATTAAAAAATCTTCAAAAACAAACACATCTTTCTTGAATATATTTTTACAAATACCTCTCCAAAAGCTCCAATAGAACCCAAATCCAACATTGACGAGTGTGTGTTGCCAGTTATCACATACGGATCAGAAACGTGATCCCTTACTATGGGCCACATAAGAAGGCTCAAGGTCACTCAGCGGGCAATAGAGAGAGCGATGCTCGGCATTTCCCTACGTGATAGAATCAGAAATGAGGAAATCCGTAGGAGAACTAAGGTAATCGACATAGCTCGAAGAATTGCTCAGCTGTAGTGGCAGTGGGCGGGGCACATAGCTAGGAGAACCGATGGCCGTTGGGGCGGAAAGGTTCTTCAATGGCGACTGCGCACCGGACTACGCTCAGTGGGTAGGTCCCCCACCAGGTGGACCGACGATCTGGTGGAGGTCGCGGGAAGCCGATGGATGCGGGCAGCGCAGGACCGATCGTCGTGGAGATCATTGGGGGAGGCCTATGCCCAGCAGTGGGCGTCGAATGGCTGAATGATGAAGCCTTGTCGTTGTTCAGTCAATGCTTAGACTATGGAAACCATTTTTTTTTCCATCCTCTAAGAGTCAATGTGATCGTCAATGTGCGGGGCGTGGTGCGTTATCTAAATCTAGGGAGGGGCGGTGAGTGTCCATTCTCTTTACTTTTGTATTCTTTGTCGCGGGTGCTATGGACACACGTAGAAAACCACAAATTACATAAATGTAAGTCATACAAATATTTCTCCTGACCCGGGAATCGAACGCGGGACCTCTTGCGTGGCAGTCCAGCATGGTAACCGTTTGGCCACGAAGGCAGTTAGCCAATTACGTTAGGAGGGATTACAATTAGACGTAGGTAAAACTTATAAAAGTGATCATTTAATAATAAATAAAATAAAAATTTTAAGATTAGGATCCCTCACCGCGAGCATCCGCCTGTAATGTAACAATCCAAGATTCGATTTTGGGGCATTACATTACAATATTGCTTCCCATGTGCCTCCCTGACCGATCGATATATAATTATATGTTTAAAAATGAAACTCCGTTGGTTGGATGGCGTTGCCTGTTTATAGCTAAATAACAACCTAACCATTACCGACACTATACCTACGGCATCTACTATTATCATTTTAATGGTACCGTATAGTGTGGTTATATGTTCATGAAATTTTCCACATGACAAGAATAATACTTTTTACAATTGATGGAACTCAATATAGATTGTTGGAAAGTATTAAATAAAGAAACTTATGAGCTAACGGAGCCCAACAAACATTATTTATCGCGTCTTTTTTTTTAGGATTTCCTTGATTTATGGTTGTGACAATGTCTACTCCTTAGAGCAAGTTAACCTTCAAAAAGTGAAGTGAAATAATATTTTGATGCAGTCAATCCATATCTTAGAATAAGTATATAGATGATTGCATATATGAGTTTGTACATGGTTTGTATTATAGCATGTGTTGTGTGGTGCTTTGTTGTTGAAAAGATAGTATTACGAAATATTTTGTACGTTGCGTTGGTGATAATTAGGTAAGTACCTACATAATACAAATGTGTAGATACGCGTAATACAACGGTAATAATATAATAATTATTTTTAGATTGACAATTGTGTCTAAAATAATATAATATAATAAATAAATAAATAATATAATAGTGTTATAGGTACACGTACGTCTAAAACCAGACATTGGTGGTCGTTCTATGGCAGCGAGAGCAAAAGCGGCGGCATTGGTGTCGCGCGCGATGCGCCTGCGATTCTCCGTATGTCTCGGCGGCTCAATCCTGCTCCTGACGTTTCTGCACTTCTTCCTGTGCAGCTCTTACAACTATCCATACATGTCACGTGCCTTTGTGCTAGACGACTTATATAAGAAGGTGAATCCTCAACTAGAGCTGTCCAAGTCAAAGCCACAGTGCGACTACAGCCGCGTGTTGGCGAGCCGCAAAAGCTTCAGCGGCTGGGAGGTGCATACGTTTCAAAACTATAACGACCTGTCCCTAGACGGGTTAGTGAACGGTAGTTTCGCCCCAGCGCATTGCAACCCGCTCGTGAGCGTGGCGGTCATCGTCTCGTATCGCAGTCGCGAGGAGCAGCGCAACATCTTCTTGCCTTACATGCACAATTTCTTGCGTAAGCAAAACATTCATTACAAGTAAGTAAACCAATTCTGAAATAACAGTTAGCCTGTATATAGTTCCACTGCTAGGCACAGGCCTCTTCTCACAATGGGAAGGCCTAGGCTGTAATTGTCACACGGGTCCAATGCGGATGGGTAACTTCATACGCATAATTAAATTACTTTGCAGATGTGTGCAGGTTTCCTCACAGAAAAGTTCACGATCAATCGCAATGCCTCGTCCAACTGTCTTCCTCCTGCCTGTTCGAAAGTGCACCTCACCAACATCAGAGGGCTGCACTCAAATCTCGATTCGGTCCACTACTACCTTAAAACCGACAAACCGCAGCTGCTGTTCCTCACCGAGACGCAGATGAGTTGTCCAACAGACGCAGCGTACCTCAGCTACCCCGGGTATATTCTGGAGCACAGGTTCGTACTTCGTGCCGGAGTCTCTGTGTACGTTCGCGATGACATCTGTGTCAAGCGACCTTGAGATTAAGAGTTTTTCTGTTGTGTGGCTTCTAGTTGACACAGGAGTTACACAAATAGTGTACTGATGTGTCTACTGCTCGCACAGTGGAGATCAGGAGACAACCAAGTTGTTCCAACATCTGAGCGAGACATCTGCTGAGGCTCAGTTTAGGTACCCAGTGGCGCAACTAGTCATTCTGAGGGACTTTAATGCGCACCATCAAGAATGTTTGTTTCCATACCAGATGACCGATCACGCTGGGAGAGAGACGCGTAAACTTGAGTTAACGCAAAGCGTTTCCCAGCTTGTCCGTGGCGCCATCAAAATCCCTGATGTTGTGTCCCATAAGGCTAATTGCTTGGACCTTCTGTTTACTGATCCAGTCCCGATACTCTGTGGTTGTGGATGTCCCACTGGGTACTTCTTCTTCTTCTTCGACTATTATCTGGTGAAAACTATCCGTATATTCCCCATCCGATCAGGGCCTTAGTGGTATGGACGGGTGTGGCGATACAGGTAAGCAGATTGGGATGAAATGAAGGGATGATGAAAAGACGCCATTTCTTTGCGCCATATCCCTGGCAGGTGTACTTTCATTACATCGTTACATCAGGAGACTCGGCGAGCTGTGTTGATGCTGTAGTCGAGGTCTTGCGTTTGGGTATGGAGTATTACATACCATACTCTGATGTACCCAATGGACCCCAAACTCGTCAATGGTTTAACGCTGACTGTAGCTGCGCTGAAGCACAAAAACAGTCCGCGTACCAAGCTTGGGCAGGTGCTCGACTGCGCAAAGCTCCGTGTACTCAGAACTTGAAGAAAGCTTTTAATAAGGCCGCCTAAAAATGCAAAAGTGTGTTACGTAGGTCCGAGTTCGACCATGTGCGCCTCATAGGGGCTAAGCTTGCCTCTTATCCAGCAGGTAGTAAATCCTTCTGGTCCCTGGCCAAAGCGGTCGGAACTAACTTTTGTTGCCCATCTTTGCTCTGCTGAAGTCGGACGGCACGCTGGCTCATACCGCAGAAGACAAGGCGAATCTTTTTGCCTCACTCTTCGCAAGAGTTGCGTCTGGATGCCGCAGGGACTACCACCACCTACCTCACCTCAGGCTGGCTACACTATGGCGCCAGTTCGCATAAACCAAAAAGAGGTACTTAGAACTCTGTGGAATCTAGACGTGAATAAAGCTAGCGGGCCAGTTGGAATTCCAGCAATAGTCCTACGTAACTGTGCGCCTGAATTGTCTCCTATTCTCATACGCTTGTACCGACTCTCACTTGAGACTAGTGTAGCTCCCAGAACGTGGAAACTCGCAAACGCGCAATCTGTCCATAAAAAGGGAGCAGAGCTGACCCAGCTATGGAACGTGTACTCAACAACCGTCTTTATTGTACCTTGAAGACAACGACCTCCTCAGTGATCGCCAGTACGGATTCCGACGAGGGCGAACTACTGGGGTATCTTCTTATGTATGCCTGTCACATATGGAGCAAGGCTATAGAAAAGCAAGACGAAGCACTAGCAGTGTCTTTAGACATTTCTAAAGCCTTTGACAGGCTCTGGCACGCAAGCCTTTTAAGTAAGATTCTCTCTTATGGGCTTCCCACTAACCTTTGCAATTGGGTCTCGGATTTCTTGAGCGAACGTTCGATTCGAGTAGTCTTAGAAGACTACTCTTCTGAACATATGGCGATAGATGCCGTTCTAACAAAGTTCCTCGGGGTTCCGTACTGTCTGCAACTCTCATTCTGCTGAACATTAATGATATGTTAATTTCAGGTACTTTACCAATGCAAGGGTCAGTGGAGAGGAAATCCAGTCTTTTCGAGAGTCTATTTTTAGCAGTTTGGATTGAAACTCTAGGCAGTCTCCGATTGGGGCGATGCCAATCTTGTCAAATTTAACGTTACCAAAACCCAAGTGTGTCTATTCCAGTATATTCTCCACAAAACGGAGTCCCTTTGAGATGACTCCGAATTTTCGTGATGTATCCATATCGATAGCCGACCGTCTCCAGCTACTTGGAATGGACCTGTCGTCCAATTTGAACTTTGGCAGATACATTGAATCCATGGCCAAAAATGCAGCAAGGAAGCTTGGTATCCTTTCCAGGGTGAGGCTTTACTTTACACCGGGACAGTTGCTCCAGCTGTACCAAGCACAATTCCGGACGTGCATGGAGTACTGCTGCCACCTGTAGGATGGCTCTGCTACATACCAACTGGCCACCTTGGATTCAATTAACAATCGTGGCAAGAGACTTATAGGTGACCCAAAATTGGTGAAGGTGAATCTGCAGAGCCTTGAACACCGCCGTAAAGTTGCCTTTTTTTTTTTTTTGACGGGGGAAATCTTTATGGATACCCCTGAGCCCAGGGAGACTCAGGAGTTATGTGGGGACTCTCCCTCCAAACTGGAGGGACTACCCCACTAAAACCCCCCCGGGTTTCCCTCTCGCCGGTTGAGTCGGCGCCGTGGGATCAGTGAACATTCACCACGACGCCGCCCGGGCCGTAAAGTTGCCAGCTTATCGGTATTTTATAGGATATATCACGGAGTGTGTGTGATGGAATTACACGATTTAATTCCGCCTTCCCCTTTCCATCATCGGAGGACCAGACGTAGGCTTGGGTACCACCCCTATGTTGTGGATATTCCAAAGAGTCGCACGAGGCGTTACGCTTCCACATTTATATGGCGAACGGCAATGAAGTGGAATTCCCTGACTGCAGACTTGTTCCTTTTCAAGGCGAGAGTGAATAGGTATTATGTGTATGATCCATCGTCGACATCATCGTCACTTTCCATCAGGTGAGATGAAGGTCAAATGCTCACTTACATATTATAAAAAAAAATTAGGTATGCATTTTTAACAGAGTCTAGAAGGTCTTCGAAAGGCATGCAAGTAGTGTTAGTATCTAAGCACCATGCAAGGATCAGGTGGAAATGCCACGGGACACAAAGAAATGAAAAATATTAATAATTATTTTAGGTGATTCATTAAAAGATACTTCTCAGGTAATCTACAGCAATAAAGCACAATTATGCCAATACTCAACTAGTTACTTTAATCGTCGTTTGTCGAAATTAAATTTTTGTTATAAGTGCGCGTTGAACTCCATCTTACCTGATGGTAAGTGACGATGAAGCATGCATACCTAAATAATGCCTATTCACTTTCGCCTTGAAAGGGCCCCTGAAATGTAGTAAGTAAAGACCGCTTAAAAACATAACTTCGATATTTATAACCATCTTCGCATGTACCTTACCATTTATAGAATATACATAGTCGAGCAGGAGGACGAGAAGCCGTTCAACAAAGGTTTGTTGTACAACACTGGCGCGCAGCAGGCCATGGCCGATGGGTTCCCGTGTCTGGTGTTGCACGACGTGGATCTGCTGCCGCTTGACGCCGCTAACCTATACGCCTGCCTTAGCCAACCGCGGCACATGAGCGCCAGCCTCGACAAGTTCCGCTTCTTGCTCACTTACGACACCCTGGTGGGAGGCGCGCTGGCCATCCGCGCCGACCAATACGTGCAGGTCAACGGCTTCTCCCACCGCTTCGAGGGCTGGGGCGGCGAGGACGACGACTTCTATAATAAGATCAAAGATAACGGCCTACGCGTACTCAGGTTACTACCTATATTTGACTTACTTACTTGTTCGAACATATCGTGTATTAGTTATTTCGGAGTGAAGTTATCAGCATTCGTTAAACCGCGAAAAATATCTATCGTAACTGTTGATGCGCCGGGTTCATTACTCGTATAAGGACTATTCTCATTTCTGCAACTTTTTTTGTGCATAATATGTATTAAAAAACGATATACTTGTATTACTTAGTCAATTTCTATTTAAAATTAATCGAGGTAGTTTATATTAATATGGGTTTTTTCTATATTTACACAATATAAATATTAATTTAAATCATCATTAAGAAAGTGACGAAAATGTCACTTCCATATCGTGTGCAAAGTCCATTTACAATAATACAAATTAAAATTGAATATATTTATCTGTAATAATTATTCTATATTAATTTACGATAATACTTAGAATAAACTTTCTAAAAAAGACTAAATAATTACAACATAAGTAAAATAATGGATTCAAAATATTTCATAACGTTTGTGCATGAAAGAATTTTCACCTCCTGCATATACTTATTGAAAGCAGCCATAATTTATTAAATCAGATAACAGAGTTTCTGAACAATTACAGACAAGAAACACAATGCCATCTTGAAAGTTTTTGACAGTTTGCCACTTCCGGGTTAATACTTTTGGCGCACAGACCTTTAAAGTACGATTTTTCAAAAATTTGCCTGCTATTTTGGTCAGTTTTGTGGATTACATATCATAATATTTTATTCAATTAAGATCTATCAGATATCGTAAAATTATGAGCTATTATAACCGTCATCTAGGCATTTCTTCGTATTTTATAAATAGAAATTGAGGCCACGAAAAAGCGGTATTAAGTTTGAAATCTCGCCTCCATGGAGGTCACCCACGTGGATTACCGTTATCCATAGAGGTGACACAATATCCATGGAAGTGACAATATAATAATGGACGCTTTTTATCAACTTAAATAATAATAATAATAACGCATACACTCAACATAGCCCCGTACTAGGAAAACCCTGTGTCGCGGGTGCCATGGATACACACACATAGACAACCACAAATTACACTCAAACTCACGAGATAATTAAATGTAGGCCATACAAATGTTTCTCCAGGCCCGGGAATAGAACCTGGGGCCTCGTGGCAGTCCGGCATGGTAACCGTTCGGCCACGGAGGCAGTTAATATATATCAACGTAATTAATTTGATTTATATATACTTTAGTAGATAATTATGGCGCCCACGAAAAATGTTAGAAAGAGATAGACGTAAGAAAAGCAAGAAGAAAAGAAAAGCAGAATGCAAGAGGAGCAATCGGGAAAAAATATAAAAGTAGGGTCAAGAGCACGTCAAGCTTGACACTTAAGATTTAAATCCAACTCTATGCCGCTTAGGATAAGAACAGTCCAAAGTACAAAGTGTCAATCTTGACGTGCTCTTGCACTCTTGCGAAACGAAGAAAAGAATAAGTACTATCTATTGACCAAATGACAGAAAGAAAATAGAGAAAGGAATGGCGTAAGAGGCTAAAAATTCTCAGAGATAATAGAACATGCAAGGAAAGACTTTTAATCTGTCTTCGTGATGATTCACCGCCTTCAAGCGACATCGAAAATCAACCGATGAACCGATTGCGCATCTTCCTTCTATTTCAAACATCTCCTTCTGTCCCAAACATACGAACTTGTTCTGTTTCAAGATGTCTTTCGTCATCCAGATACTCATCTCCATCACTATTGGTAAATTACTTGCTTAAGAGACTTGATTCACAAAGTGTTAGTAGGTAGTACAGGTACAACATACCCTCTGAGGATTGGATTGAAGACTGCAAACAGTAATCACCACCATCATTATTGAAATAATGGTGAAATTTGCCGAATAGAATTGAGACGTTTCCGTTCCAAAAAATCGTCCTTAAACTTTTTTACAAACACGACTTAGACCAGAGGCGTCCCCTGACAGGACGGGACGGCAGTCGATCCTTCAGCAGCCCTATATGCAAGCACACACTGACGGCAATTATGTCGCGGCATCCTTAAACGTGTCACGGTATCTTTAGGTATGCCCGGACATTTTTAGGTGTGTTGAAGCATACCGTCGCTACATCGTTGCGTGACGTGTATTGAATGCTATAGTTGCATGGCGTCAAGCAACTATAGACCAATGGCGACGCGGAGCGGGTTCCCTGAAACCTATCGATGCATCCTTAAGGCCGTCGAGGCATTCATAATACTGCCGAGGCATTCATAATACTGCCGAGACACCCATAAGGCTGCCGAGGATCCATAAGACTGCCGAGGCATCTCTAAAACTGGCAAGGCATCCCTAAGGTTACCGAGACATCCATAAGGCTGCTGAGGCATTCCGGAGGTTGCCTAGGCATTCCGGAGGCTGAAGGCTCGGCATGCCTAAGCATATCGCAGCTTCATTTTGCAGCTACGATCATAATCACTAAAATTGCAACTATAAAGACATAATCTTAAGGTACATTACTATTCGTCACCTAAAAATCCCTTGCCGTCACGTCCTGTCAGTGGGCTAACTTTATTACGTAGTAAAAGTAAAAAGTAATTTCTATAAGGTAATAACATCTTCTTTAGCTGGTGAAAACGAAGAGGCTTACTTTTTTTGAGGTCAAATGACAACAAAAAAGTTCAGTAAACAATAACCTTACAGTAATTAGTGTTTTGTAAATTATATTTTATTTAAATTATTAAACTATTTTTCATGTTATAAGGCTGAATATATCAACATTATTTTACCATGGAACTTGATAGACTAACAAGGCCATTAGCTTTAGCACTCCAAGAGTAAAAATTAGATAATATGAAAATGTCACGACATCATAGCTCATTTTGCATTTTCCCAAAAACTAAAAATTTTGTGTTGACCACTTTCTTTCTAAAAGTGCGAAGTGTTAAGTAAATAATATTGATTATAAAAACTATTATTAGTCATACTGGTACTCATGTGACCTGATATTAAAAATATATTAAAAATTGAATAGGAGACTGTGTTAGTGTTCCTAAAAAAATTATTTTAATAATATAGAATTTACATAATTGAATATACCTAATCCGACCGGATCGAAGGAATTTTTTCTGAGTGTTCGATCTTTGTATTAATAATTATAACAAACTAGTGGAGTAATTTCACGAAAAATAATTGAATATCAATTCAATAAAAATTTAATTAATACAGTGAATAGCGACATCTCTCGCCAGGTCTGGTAGCTGTAAAGGTACTAACTGGGTGATAAATCCGTTAAAGATTTCTCATAGATGGCGCTACGACTAAAAAGTCTTTGAAAGGCCAAGTACAAAGACACGACGCAAGCACATAGAAGAATTCGTGAGGTCCGTTGGTTCGTTCCGTGGCTTAGTTGGTATAGCGTCTGGCACGGTATGCAAGAGGACGTCGGTTCGAATCCGACCGGATCGAAGGAATTTTTTCTGAGTGTTCGATCTTTGTATTAATAATTATAACAAACTAGTGGAGTAATTTCACAAAAAATAATTGAATATCAATTCAATAAAAATTTAATTTATACCTAATACTTTAAAGAGCCCAAATATAAATCAGTATGTAGTGGTTACGTAAATAAAAATAAAAGTAAAAAATACGTTTTATTCTACAGTAAACCACACATGCTTCATTAAAATTAAACTAACTTGTCATTACCTTGGAGTTGTGTCACTTCCGTGGAGGCGTGTTTTCTTTTTTCCTTTTTTTTTCTTGAAAACTACAGTGATAATAGCTAGGTTCTTAAGTGAAACATATTGTAGAATACGGTACCTTTCATTTGAGACTACTTTGAATTAAAAAACATTGTTTTTTTTTATTATTTCAAGTCCGTTTTTGAGAATGGTATAAGTATTAGTTGTTAACTTTACCTAATTGTTATTCAAACCTTTCAATTATCCGAATGAGAATATATCTAGCTTTATAATAGGGGTTAAAGTATGAAATTGCCGATTTGTACTGAAAA